ACTTCTGATCAAGAAGCCCACAACCTGGAATCTTCCTCTGATGAAGGAAGAGAGACTGAGAACGAGCAGAATCTCCAATCTGCCAAAATGGAAGAATTGGAAGCCCGCCACTTTTGACGGCACGGGATCACCAAACCAACATATCTATCATTTCATGTCACAGACTGGGAATGTGATATCAAATGACGCCATACTGGCTCAATTATTCATTGGCACCCTCAAGGGAGTTGCCTTTGAATGGTTCAGGAAACTTCCTATAGGATGTATCCAAAAGTGGACAGATCTAGAGAGACTCTTCCTGTCAAGATTCTTTGAAGATGATACAGAAGTCTCCATCCATACCCTCCTCGCCACTAAGCAAAAGAAGAGGGAGTTCGTCAAAGCTTTCGTCAAGAGGTTCCGAAGCATGGCTCTTCGATGTCCGACAGGTATGACACAGTCTACCTTAGTAGAGACCTGTCGACACAACTTGCAGACCAACCTTCTAGCACAAATGAGGGTTACAGAATGCCGTTCTTGGAGACAACTAATCTCTCAAGGCGAACAGGCTCAAAAGATTATTGTCAGGATCAAAGCTGAAGAACAAAGTAGGCAGGATCAACCTGAGCAATCGAACCAAGCCCAACCCTCTCCAGAGCAATCGGACCAAGCTCACTCTTCCCAGTCAGAACCGGAAGATACTACGGCCGCTGAAGCCAATCCTTTCCAGTAGGATGGCGGGTCTAACAACTATCACGTTAACAGTTACCTCTGATAGTCAAACTCGTTAGACAGTGGCTCACTAGGCGATGTGTCATGTCCACCATTTTCCCCTCTGCACTTGTTCAAGACTGGGGGTTGGTTTATTTGTAGTTCATTCGATTATGAACAATAACTTTTCTGAGTTGTCATGTTCAACAGAATACCTCTGTCAACCACGAAGTCTACCAAAACTATCACGTTAATGATCACCTCTAATAGTCTGTTTTCCTCCAAATTTCCCCACCAATCCTCTTAAAGTAGGATGGCGGGTCCACCAAAACTATCACGTTAACCGTCACCTTTGATAGTCCTTTTTCCCCAAATTCTCCCACCAATCCTCTTCAAGTAGGATGACGGGTCTACCAAAACTATCACGTTAACCGTCACCTCTGATAGTCCTTTTCCTCCAAATATCCCCACCAATCTTTTTTAAAGTCCTTTTCCTCCAAATTCCCCCACCAATCCTCTTTAAGTAGGATGGCGGGTCCACCAAAACTATCACGTTAACCGTCACCTCTGATAGTCCTTTTCCTCCAAATATCCCCACCAATCTTTTTTAATAGGATGGCGGGTCCACCAAAACTATCACGTTAACCGTCACCTCTGATAGTCCTTTTCCCCCAAATTCTCCCACCAATCCTCTTCAAGTAGGATGGCGGGTCCACCAAAACTATCATGTTAACCGTCACCTCTGATAGTCATTTTCCTCCAAATTTCCCCACCAATCCTCTTCAAGTAGGATGGCGGGTCCACCAAAGCTATTACGTTAACCGTCACCTCTGATAGTCCTTTTTCTCCAAATTCCCCCACCAATCCTCTTCAAGTAGGATGGCGGGTCCACCAAAACTATCACGTTAACCGTTACCTCTGATAGTCTTTTTCCTCCAAATTCCTCGCCTCTATTCTGACTTCATGGATAGTGCCCCACTAGGTGATGTGCCTTGTCTACCTCTTTTTATTCCCCTGCTAAGTTTTAATCAAGACTGGGGGTTGGTTACTTGGAATCCATTGGATTAAGAGTAATAAATCTTTCACATCGTCAAGTTAACATTACACTTCTGACGATCATCACCTCACGGAGTATGAATTCAGTTTGCATCACTCCTAACTTGTCACGTTAACAACATACCTCTGACAATCCACTTATCAATCCTCGTCAATAGGATGATAAGTCCACAAAATTGCTCCAATCGCAACACAAATTCTGTCACGTTAACACTAAACCTCTGACAAAACCCACTTATCAATCCTCGTCAATAGGATGATAAGTCCACAAAGTTGCTCCGATCGCAACACAGAAAGTCCTGTCATGTTAACACTAAACCTCTGACAAATTAACTTATCAATCCTCTTCGATAGGATGATAAGTCCTCAAAGTTTCCCTAATCGCAACACAAATCCTGTCACGTTAACACTAAACCTCTGACAAAACCCACTTATCAATCCTCATCAATAGGATGATAAGTCTACAAAGTTGCTCCCATCGTAACACAATCTTGTCACGTTAACATCATACCTCTGACAAATTTACTTATCAATCCTCTTCAATAGGATGATAAGTCCATAAAGTTTCTCTAATCGCAACACAAATCCTGTCACGTTAACACTAAACCTCTGACAACCCACTTATCAATCCTCATCAATGGGATGATAAGTCCACAAAGTTGCTCCAATCGTAACACAATCTTGTCACGTTAACATCACACCTCTGACAAAAACCTACTTATCAATCCTCATCAATAGGATGATAAGTCCACAAAGTTGCTCCGATCGCAACATTCTCTTGTCACGTTAATATCAAACACCTCTGACAAAATCAACTTATCGACTCTCGTCAATAGAGCGATAGGTCCTCAAAGTTGCTCCGATCGCAACACTTTCCACTTATCGACTCTTGTCAATGGAGCGATAGGTCCATAAAAATACTGTTAGGTTAACATCACACCTCTAACAGTCAACCCCCCCCAATGAACTTGTTAATCCTTTTTCAACAAGAATAGCAAGTTGTCATTATAAAATCCCCAACGGATTAAATATTTTCTGGAATTATCCTAGTGATAATAAAGAAAATTTCTGAATTTCACTCTAAGTGAAAATTCATGCCAAGTTAATATTACACCTCTGGCGCTTCCAACTTTCTTTCAGTGTTTCAAGTAACACAGGAAGAAATAACAACAAAGTCCACGTATTCAACATCATGGCAGGTTATTATTAATAACATCAAAATCCATGCCTCACACGCATGGGGGACTTTATCTCGATCCCTAACTAAAGATAAGCCTACGTCTAACACGCGTTGCCGGTTAGTCTTTTCCCGTGAAAATGATAAAGTCTATGTATTCAAAATCATAGCATCAAGTCTAAGAGGGTTCATTCTCTTAGCACAACGTTACATGTGGAACGGACTTAGACAATCCACATGCTAGCCCGACTCAAATGGTAGTCGGTAAAGGCTTATCAAATCCGTTGATGGCTGAGGGTTTGCCAAAAATCCTATGCACGTTTGCAGGTCCATCAGCTTAATGGATGTGAGCCGAGACTTAAAACAGATGAGCCAAAGACAAGTCTCAAAGACTTAGTCAAAAATGCACGGAAGCCACTTCCATGTCTTAAGTCAAAACGTTGAGGTCAGACCCGCGTTCCAAATTCAACATGCAAGGGTGAGACCCGCATCTCAAGTTCAAAATACAGGGTTCACCCCCACATTCCAGAAGCAGGATTATAGCGCATACCTTCACACAGGTCCTACGTAGCAAATCCCTTCAACCAAGATGCCTTCGAAGCAAGTGCAGAGAACAAATCCTTTACCACAAGGAATCAACAGCTCCAAGATCAGAGTTGAGATCCAAAGTATTCTGAAAATTCGTCCCAGTCAACCGCGAACTTTCAAAATCTTTGGAGGGGTTTCTGTAGGCTGTCTAAAAATCACAATAGATAGCTGATCCCCATCAAAACACCGATGATGGAAGTTACACTCTGACGACTTCCAGAAGGTTACAATTTGAAGACTTTCATGTAGATCGCTAAAGGTTACAATCTGACGACCTTCACGACAACTGATGGAAGCTCTAATCAAACAGCCTTCATAATCAACATCGGGAGTTACAATCTGACGACTCTCATATATCAGAGAGATAAAACAAAGATTACAAAATGATGATCTTTACAACGCTTCGACAGAAAGAGACTACAAATCGACGGTCTTTTCAAATCAAACTGTGAAAGTCCTCCCCGCACACCAGCATCAAGACGCATCGCGTTCATAGCCACGAATGCAGCTCAACGCAGCTCATACCGCAGCTCAACGCAGCTCCAACCGCTGATCAACGCAGCTCCAACTGCTGATCAACGCAGCTCCAACCGCTGATCAACGCAGCTCCAACCGCTACTCAACGCAGCTCCAAGCGCTGCCCAACGCAGCTTTATACCACTGCCCAACGCAGCTCTATACCGCTGCCCAACGCAGCTCTATACCGTTGCTCAACGCAGCTCCAAGCACCGCCAGACGCAGTTCCATAACACTGCGAAACGCACCTTCAAACATCAAAGAACGCAACTCCATGTCGCTGCAGAACGTTTGCGTTTGACTCGTTCAAACACGAGCTGAACGGTTTCAAAACCATTTCCTACGATCTGAGGGGATCACAACTCCACTCAGGAGTGATTTAAGGGGCGGTTACATCCCATTAGCCCCACTTAGGAGCGAATTAAGGAGGTGGTTACACCCCTTAATCCCCTATAAATAACTAAAAATCAATTCAGTTCGGGGGGGGTCTGTTGGAACTTCTTGGCTCGTCAACAGGATCCTTAGAGCATTTCTGGAGCTTGGGAGATCTGCAATAAGAGCTTCTTCATCCTTGGCTTGAGAACCGATTCTCGGTTCAAATCAACTCTTTTTCAAGAGTTTCCAACTCATTCAGAGTTATCAACTCGTCCAGAGTTTCAAACTTACCACGCAAGTTCTCCACAACGTCAAATCGTGAGGAAAAGATCATGTTCCAGTGAAACAAAACGTCGGATCGTCAACGAGAAGCAAACTCGACGCGAGCATTCGAGGGAGGCATCTCATCGCCACCGTGAAGAACCCAGATTTAAACAAAGGGGAGAATCCAGATCATTCTCCTCTCTTTTGTAATCGGAATCCAAATTGTAATCGACTTTGAGAGAATACAAGTTAATTTTCTTTCATTGTCTTTTTACTGCAAATTTTCCACAAACACTAATGTTTATATATTCTCACCTTGATAGCACATTAGACATAAAGATAAAAATTCACACTGCATGCGCATCTGACAGAATGATTACTTTTTAACAAGAGAGTTATTTATAAATAAAACAACATTTTATAGCATGTTCTATTTTTGACAGATGGATAATTTTGCTAGCCATGCACTGTCCATCCCCCATCGACGCAAATCAACTGACCAGTAACATAAGAAGCAGCAGGCATACAAAGGAACGCCACTGCAGATGCAATTTCCTCTGGTTCACCAATACGCCCTGCTGGAATGCGTGCCGCTAATTTTGCATTAAGTTTGTTACCATCCATCACCTTTAAGAAATGAATACAAAGTCTTAAAGAAAAACATCAATATCTTTCGTGCATAAACTTCAATAATTCAGGCGGCAATTACATCTTACGGTTAAGAGAAACATGCTAGCATTGCTATTGAGAATCTAGGGTGCTATCGAAAGAGCTTGCAAAAGCTAGACATGAGGCAAATTAAGTGTCTGGATGATCAAGTTAAACTTTAATGCATGAGCTGAGATAGGTTTATGTTAGCACCGCAGTAAAAAAAAAAAACCTACATACACATCGATTAAAGAAATAATGAAGGAGAGAGAAAGCAACCACAGGGACACAGAGATTTAGCAAGATGCGAATATCAATGCGATGCACATCTTGGAGTACAACCAGGTCATGATTCAACTAATAACCAACAAAGTATTGCTACCAATCTGTCAGATGCTAATCTTATCTTCCTTCTCGGTCCCTATTTTTCTCTCTTCTGGATCCAAGAAAACAATAAGTGGTCGGTGAGAATGGTGAAATAATATCAAAACTAAATGAGGAGAACAAAATTATGGCGTGTATTCTGACTAGTCTAAGAAATATAGGATGATTTCGATGAAGACTCAAGTGCTTACATTTAGTGTGAGAGTGTTTGCTTATTTTTGTTTGATAAATAAACTCCTTATCCCTATATAAAGATAATAAAACTTTACAAAACTATTATCTATAATGTTCTTGTTTTCTCTGTTATGTTTACTTGTTTCTACTGATTTAGAATAAGAACCACCAGATGAGTGAATATACTAACTAGAAAGCCGAAAACAGGAATTGGAATCAGAGAGGAAATTACACTTTCACATTAAGAAACTAGACGGAGTACTTACAGGCTGCGTCATGATTGTTCTAGTTGCTCCAGGTGCAATGCAATTCGTTCGAATGTTGTCTTTTGCCCATTCGCAAGCCAAATTTCTTGTGAGTTGATTCATTGCTCCTAAATGAAAACAAAATCATCAATTAAAGTTCCTTTTCAGATGACACCCAACAAAACTTCATCTGGACTGTGGCTTTTATTTCTCACTTATACCTTTGGTTGCTGAATAAAGCGTCAAATCATCCACAGCTATTTGCCCACAAATCGAGGAGATGTTTACAATACTGCCAGCACCTGATGACTTAAGAAGAGGGTAGGCAAGTTGACACAGATGAAAAGCCGATTCAAAGTTTGTAGCCATGATTGTCATATATTCTTCGGCAGTAAAATCAACAGCTTTCTTCAAAATTGATATTCCCGCATTATTAATCTGGAGAGAGAACAAAAAAAAAAAAAAATTGCACCTTTCTTGAGGCCATGCAAAAGAACTTAGCAGATAAAACTTTCATAAATACTTACAAGTATGTTGAGTTTCCCGTGGAATTCCATGGAGACTTTCTCCATCAGTTTCTCACGTTCAGATCGAGAAGATACATCACAAACAGACCCTACAACTCTAAGCTTTGATATGTCCCACTCTTGTAGGCATTTGTTAAGCTCTGCTTCATTTCGAGAACATGTATACACTGTAGCCCCAAGCGTGGCTAACTCTTCAACTATGGCATGTCTGTAATCAAACCTCGTAAATAAATTTATCTTGATGAAAAAGAAAACAAGAAATCAAGCAAAAGACACGAGAGCTTAATTTTTTCAGGTTCATCCCGATTTATGGCTACATGCTCAACAGTGTAGTTTGCCAATTTCCACTGTCAGTTTGTCAAGCAATACAATCTTGATCTCTCTCCCAAAATTTGTCTTCTTCCTCACGAGAAACCTTAACGTGATTTCTTTTAAAACTCCCTAATAAAAGGTACAAAGATATCACTTTTCTCTTGTGTTGTTTCAGCTTTTTTTTTTTTCCTCTTTTTTATACGTGATTATGCCCTAAGACTATAGGAAGTCTCATATAAATAGTATTCCAAAACAAAACATGATTGTAAAACAGAGAAAAATCCCGTTAAATGGTGTACTGGGCAGTCCAAGCAACCAATACTCCCGAATGGTGCACGGGGCTGTCCGACTGCCCGAAAGCTTGAGGGTTAATCAGGGGGCGGTCTGGCCACCTACACTGCACCTGTTCTTTGTTTCGCCCTTTTCTGATACTGAATAAGATGTCTTCTGACGGATCTCCACTTGTAAACAAATGTTGTTAGAAACCTTCGAAAAATATAACTACTGCAAGAATAAATGAAAATCGGAGAAACAATATGCACATATATACATCTAAGGTATAACTAACTTAGTTACACCGACCTGTAAAAATAAAAGATACTGGCCAGATCAGCCACTGATTATGTTGATGTCTATTAAAAGAGTTCTCCACCCGGCCCAAGCTAGACGATAGGTATGCAGATTGAAAACAGGTACAAAGTTTGAGAAGCATAGCAAAACGTACCCAATCCCTCTGCTTCCTCCAGTGACTAGAGCCGTCGTTCCTCGAAGAGACCAGCGCTTGTTTCTGATGCTGGCCTTGTCCTCCATCGATCCGAATTTTCTTCCCCCTGTTTCATAGAACTTAGTTTACTCTCCTCAATAGCGTTTATCTTGTTCTCCACTTACACGAGACAAACAGCAGATGAGACAAACAGTAGGAGAAAATGATACGGAACAAACGATGGCCAAACACGAATAGTTGAAAGAAAAATGACGCTGACACTTTCTTAAAGACAACGTTTTCTGCCAACATAGGCAATTTAGTAGCAGATAATGATGTTTCATCTATATTTCAATACCAATTTTCAAGGATTAGGTAGCACAGAAGAAGTCTGAAACCTGTACAAGCATTTGAGTCATTACCAAAATGAAAGGCCACACAAGAGAAAAAAATTCAATACTAAGAACCACTAAAACTATTCGTTTCTTATCTCTTCCTGACTTCTATGTTCATCATACGAAATGTTGTACGCATGAAGAGTGTTTTACTAAATTCGGGAGGTTTCTTTTCACATCTCTTTTCACTTTCACTATTTAGATCCCAAATGTGGGCCAAAGCGGTCCTGGGAGTTATCTGCCAAAATGCGAAAACTTATTGGTGATTTTCTGCAATTCCAATTGATGCAGGGGGTTTTGTTCGGCTTTAGAAGTTATAGGGGGTTCTTATTCCAAAATGCTGAAAATTCTTTGCGGTTTAGTGTAATTTACACTTTTGACTTTACTTTTCAACCTGAATTGCATCATTCCAAAGAGCAGGGATAACCAATAAGTTCTGTTAATGCAAGCCATATAAGATTTACCAAGAAATCTAAGTATGCATAATGATATCTCAATAGGTTTGACCAGGTTTATGGAACTTACATAGTGCATTACTCAAAGGCCAATGTGTATATATTCCTTCGTTTGAAGAACATCAAATATAAGTTACATACCACATACACTTGCTATAAGAATTTAGAGCTCTAACGCCAGAGCCAACTTTGTAACATCTAGACTTATTCTATAAATGAAATGGAATTTATATCCAGTTCGATTCTTGGCACATCTTGGTATTTGTTAACCGTGCACTGTCCATCCCCCATCAACGCAAATCACCTGACCAGTAATATAAGCAGCAGCAGGCATGCAAAGGAACACAACTACAGATGATATTTCCTCTGGTTC